CTGGGCTCTGCAGGGAAAGCACAGGCGTTCGGGGCTTTCCTTCCCTCTGCAGCGCATTTTCCACCCGGGGACGGAAAAGCCCAGGCCTGCCACTAGGCACAAGCGTGCCCCGCGATGGCAAAGTGGGGCAGGAAGGAAATGGGGTGTTGAGGGAGGCTCGGGGAGCACGGGCACGGTAGGGCTGAGCTAGGAGACTCAGTTGCAAGAAGCCCACGATGCGGCTTTCCCACCAAGGCGGCTCTGGTAACGAAGCTGAGGAGCTGCTAATGAAGCTCCCCACACATGCTCACCTTCGGGGCTCAGGGCGGCTCCTCCATGGCTGGGGATGGCTGCAAGAGAGAGGGGAACGGGGCATCAGGGAGGTGGGAGCACCCGGCCTTGGGCAGCGGCTCTTGGCCCCTCGCTGGTTATCTTGGGGGAGAAAGATGATTTTGGGGGCTCAGGTCAGCCCTCCACCAGGGTGAAGATGACGCTGGTGGAAAGAGCCGGAGATGACAGCCAGGAGCTCCCTGGCCACGCTGTGCTCTGCGCCGACCTGGTTGTAATGCTGGAGGGACACTTCTGTTCCCGAAGGTCAGTGGTGGGGACACAGCCCTGGGCTGACCCCGTGCCATCCCAATCTGAGCGGTGCTGGCTTTTCCCTTGGGAATGGAAGTGCATTTTGTGGCTTTCTCGCTCTCACTTCTCCTCCTCACATCTTTAATTAAAATAAATAAATACCAACGACCTCATGCAACTGGCCCTGCCTGCCATAATGGTAGGGGACATCAGGGTGCCCCCCAGCACCCATAGGCCCACTCCTGGGGTGTGACGAGCATCCTGGGGACACTGGGCATGCACGGCCCTGGCCGAGGCGTGCCCGCGTTCTGGTGTGGATTCAGAGCCTCGCCACTGGTCACCAGCTCCTCTTCCCCCTTCTGCTCTGCCATCCCCAGCAAACCCCATGCTTGGGGGTTGCCCAGGGTAGGCATACGGAACCCCAGCACGATGCCATGGGTGAGCCAAGACAGGCACCCCACTGAGCCCATGATCAAGGGCATGGGGCTGAACCCCCAGTACAGCCCAGGAGGGTTCATCATGGGATTTCAGGGGCCCCCAGGCTGAGACAGGGCTGAGTCGCCTCGGGGCACCCCTGGCACCGGCACAACAGGTGCACCCAGGTAAAGCAGCCACGACCCCATCACCCCCTGCCGCTCCAAGACCCCGGACATCAGCAACCCACATTTTTTTGCGGGCCAGGCAGCAGAGCTGCCATCGGCAGGGCCCCGGCTGCCTCCTCCGTGCTGGTGCTGGCGGCTGAGCCAAAGGCTGCCGGGGGCACCGCCGCCTCTGCTACCAGGCCTGGGGAAGGCAGGCGAGGGGGGCCGGGCAGGAACAAGCTGTTTTTCCTCCCTCTGTGGTTTTCTACGTCATATCTCTGCTCATTTGAAGTCTCAACCTGGCAGCTGCCTGCCGAGGTCCTGCTGAGCATAAGAGCAAGAGCGAAGAGGAGAGAAATCTGGGGTTTTGGCCCTCATCCTGGGGTCTCCCCATCGGCATTGCCCATCTCTGCAGAGGGTGTGAGACTGAGGGATGGTGAACATACCCAGAGCTGGGGGGTCTGGGGGGACCCCAGCTCTCCTTTGGGTCCCTACAAAGCTGCTGACGGCTGTAAGGCAGCGTGGCCAAGTGAGAGCCCAAGGTGCTGAAGCTGGCACCCAAAGGAGAGCTGGGGACCATGAGCGTGAGCGTGTGTGGGGTTTCTGGGTGATGGGAGCTGGTGACGTCCATTGTGGGAAATCTCAGCCCCCATGAAGCTGTTTTGGGAGCTGGCACACTGAATTGCAGTGAGGAAAACCAGTGATGGCCACTAAACCCAACAACCCAAGCTACCATGAAGGCCAGATCCCACTCTCTGTGCTGCTGTGGGGAGACCTGCGGCCACTCTCACTGATTCCTGCCAATAACAGCCTTGCCTTGCTGGCAGCTGCTTCACTTCTCCTCACCAGCTCGCTTTGGCTCTGCCCCGGCTCCACCGCCACCGTCACCACCTCCTGTACCACCACCTTCGCCATCGTCTGCACAACCACCCTCACCACTGCCCACAGTCACCGGTCGAGATGAGTGGCACCGCTGCAACAGGGGCAGGAAATGTGTCCTGCAAAGGAGCTGGTGCACGCTGTGCCACACCATGCTACACCACGCTGTGCCACGCCAAACCACCACATTGTCCGCAGGCCACGGCAGCACTCAAAGCACCGTGATGGCCCCACGGGGTAGGAATCAAGGAGATTTCATCCAGGCATGTCACTGCATCTCCCAGTTGCTGGCACCCCAGGGGCACCATATATCCCTGCAAGGGCATGTGAGGCACAGGCGGTGATGGACTAGGGAAGGGAGAGGCGTTAATTGATTATGCCCTAATTAATTCCTCCAAATCCAGGTCATGCATGCTAACGAAGGCAGCTGTTTTCCATTGAGCTAGTGGTGCTTCTGCTGAAAGGAGATTGCCTGGCTGGTGCCTGGGGAGCGGTGCTGGGGGCACTGGGTTTCCTGGGCAGCCCGGTGAGGTTCGGGAGAGCTCCCATCCCCTCCTGCTGCCATCACCCTGGGCTGCTGCCTGGAGACACACAATGCTCTGGTCCCCAACCCCAGAGTGGGGGCTTGGCTCCTCTGGGAGTTTCCTGCCCCAAAACTCTCTCCAGGTTGAACATTTTCCATGAGGCAAGAGGAAGCTCGCTGGGGTGTGGTGGTGGCAGGCGGCTGTGGGCTGCCAGGAGCAGGCAGGGTCAGGCAGAGATGTCCAGGGGGGTCAGGCAGAGACGCTGGGCAATACCAGCAGCATGAGCACATTGTCCCCAGGCCTCGGCATCTCTGGGGGTCACCCAGCTTGCCAATCCCCTCCCGGCTCCTTTGGCTCCTTCCAGCCTTCACATCCCCTTGGCCAGGATTTGGCAATGCCCCCTGGGACAGGGGTGCAAGGCCCAGACCGACTGCTGGGCCACCCCTACCCGTGGGACTCAGCTGGAGCTGCACCGGGGCGAGCCCCTGGGGTCCGTGAGCAGGAGCCGAGCCTCTCTCACCCAAAATCGACCTGAGGTTGGCAATTCACCCCTAGCATCCTGGGAGACTTTGCCTCTAGTAAAGGTCCTCCTTCCCCTCTGCTTATCCGAGAGTGCCTGATCCCCATGGACATGGGGTGCCTGGGGTCCAGACCTCCCCTCCAAGTCACGGCTACGTCTGGAGGCCCTGAGGTGCTGCGGGCAGGATTTGTGCCGTGGCTCGGTTAAAGCATCTCTGCTTGTTGCGGGCACTGCAAGTCAGCTCAGCATCCTCTGCACGCTCTGACAGATAAGGATGATTATAATATCTTTCCGCAGGGTTTTGGGAGGGGGGAGAGCGCTGGGATGTGCTGACATGCTGCCTGCCCGTGAGAAGCCTTTTGCCTTTGGGTCGAGCAGTAATGGGCTTGTTGGCTGTCATCACACCGCTGTCATCCTAATGATGGTGGAAGTGGCATTTCCCAGCGCCTGTCGCTGCGCACAGGAGCAGGAGCTCAAATAAACGCTTGGCACTGGTGTACCTGTCTTGTGGCTGGAGGTGACACAGGGGTCCTGTGCATGTGACACATGTCCTGTCCATACCCCAGGACAGCAGCGTTATCTTCCCCCTGGGGCATCACTACCCCAAGGCATTGGTACCCTCCAGGGCATCAGCATCCCCCAGGTGGCTGCAATGTCATGGTCCAAGCGGTCCCAACAGCCACCCTCACAAAGCTGCCATCATCTCCCCCTCAGCCTCCACTGCCCTGGGACGGGGAGCGGTGAGCACGTCTGGGGGCACCCCTTGTGCCCACCCCCGTGCTCACTCCCATCCCCGCTCTGCTCGCAGCAGCCGTCTCCTTGCTCTCGCCTCACTCCTCTCCCCTTTGTCTGGGGCTTTGTTGCTATTTTGGTGCTTCCTCCCTTGTTGCGGCGTGGCCCCTTTGTTCGGGGCTGCCAGAGCCTCTCGCCTCGGTAAACAGCTGAAGGATGTGGTGGGGGGCAAATTTTCCACGGGGGTGGGTCTGAACCCCAACCTCCGCCAAGGCTCCACCTCATCCGGGGAGACGGAACCCCGCCGGCGGGTGCAGGGGCAGGAGAGGCGCTGTGAGGTTCAGCGTGCTGGCTGAAAGAGCCATGTGAGGCACAGAGGAGCCCCCCAAGGCAGGAGGATAGAGATGCTCCAGCCCTGGGAGGGATGGCTGGGTGCTGCACCTGGTGCCCCTAAGGCGTGCCCAGCACAGGGTGATGCTGCTCAGGCATCCTGCCAGGGCTCAGCTGACCATGGGATGCTCCAGTTTTCACCCTGACTGGAGTGAGAAGGGGTCTGGGCCCCCTCAGCACCATCCAGTGTGCTTGGGATAGGACTCCAGTGCCTTCCCTGCCCCCTGGCCAGGGTTTAGGCTCATCACCACCCCCAGTGTTATGGGGCTAGATCAGGCCCTGCCTCCCCGCTCCCTGCTGCTGTGGGGCTGGGGATGAGGGGTTTCTGGCTGCTCCTGCCCTGCCCAGCTCCAGGGCAGCTCTGCAGGTGAGGGAAGACATCACGGCCCTGTGGCTGATGCAAGTGATGCTGCTTCCCATGACCAGCCAGGCAGGGGACTGCGGAAGGGACATCTTTGGGTCACCTATCCCTTGCTACCCCATGGTGACCCAGTGTCTCTGCAGGGCTGGTGACCAGCCACCCCCACGACCAAGGGACACAGTGACCTCCTGGGAAAAGCTTTTAATGGCAGCTCACAGCCCAGCACAGCTCGCCTGTGCCAAGCAGCCCCTGGGTGCCACCAGCACCGGTGCTCACGCTTCAGCACAGAGGAGACAGCCAGAGACATTGGCAGCAGGATGGTGAGTCCTTGGGCACCTGCAGTGCTGTGTGTCCCCCCACCGAGCCCCTCTGTCCGTGGCGGTCGGGCAGCCTCAGTAAGCAGAGCCCTGGATGTCATCATAGTCGCTGCCCTCAGAGGAGTTGGGGTCCTGCGCGTGTCCCCCCATGGGGCAGGAAGGGGCCGGCCAGCCTGAAAGGGAGAACTCATCAGGCAGGGAGCGGGAGGAGGATGTTGGGGGAGGGCAGAGGAGCCCTTCACCCCCCTGTGCCACCCTGCTTCTGCCCTGCCAGCACAGGGTCCTCACCAGGGTGTGGGGATGGGTCCCCAGGTGGCTCCGTGCCCTGCACATTCTCGTACCACTCGCCTGAGGAGGTGCTGGAGCTGTCGGCAGGGTCTGCTGGAGACACAGGTGCGCAGGGCTGGGAGACCACTGGGGCGGGCATGCATGGTGTTGCTGGGGAAGCTGGGAGAAACAGGGACTCTTACTGGTGCCTTCCATCCCTGTTGCCATCCCCTGGGGTCCCCCACTCCCAATTCCTCCTTGGCATCTCTCCATCCCTTGCTCCTGCCTTTGGAGTCTCTCCATCCCTGCTCTCATCCTTGGAGCTTCTCCATCCCTGCTCCAGTGCCCAGGGCTGTCCCCATCCCTGCTCCAGTCCCTGCAGCCCCCCAGCAGTGCCCACCTGTGCTGGGGTCATTGGTGTAGCCATGGGTGGTGGATGTTGCATGCCCATGGGTGTCATCGGCCCATGGGGTGGCCGTGCTGTTGTTGCAGTAGAGTTCAGTGCAGAAGAAGGAAGAGGATGAAGAGGAAGAGGAAAAGCTGCTTGCCCTGCCGCAGGACGGGGGACCCAGCCTGGCCGGTACTGCAGGGTACAGGGCTACCATCAGCTGCAGGGCAGCCACTCACCCACCCACCCACGGCAGGACAGGCAGATGGCCAGCACTGCAGGACAGAGGGACAGGCACCCCTCGTGTCATACCCTCTGCAGGGAACCGCTCCATGCCATCCTGGCTGGCAATCAGGGGGAACAGCTGCTCCCCGGGCTGCCGGCGCAGTGAGTCTGCGGGGAGGACAGGGAGGGGACATCAGCAGGGATACCCTGGAGTGCCCCGGGACAGGATAGTGGGGGTCCTGGGGCAGGGCAGTGGGTGTTCCGGGGCTGGGTGGGATGCTCACTGTAGAAGGTGGAGAGGGCCACAGGCGGCTTGCTGCTGAAGTCGTAGTGTTCATAGTCAGAGTCAGAGTCGGAGTCCTTGGCAGCAGGAAGGGCTGTGACTGGTGGGGCTGGGGGGGGGGAGATGAGGGTGTGGCAGGGGGGCATTTTACTGCCGCACACCCCCGAGGGACCGACCAAACCTACCTGGTCCTTTGGGAAGACTGGCGGGCATCTCCCTGTAGTCATTGCTGGTCTCGGAGGGCACATTGGGATTCTGGGTGCTATGGGTCACCAGCACTGGCCCAGCAAGCCCGAGAGAGGACATGGTGTGGGCTGCAAAGACAAGGAGAGGCCACTGACTGAGCTGCCCCATGGCACAGTAGTGGGGTGGCCCTGGCTGGGCTGGCAGTGTCACCCCCTCCATGACCAGAGCCTGCTGCCGTGGGACTCCTTACCACTCTTCTTCCTCACCCTCAGCAGGGCGACAGTGAAGGCCAGCACGGTGAGCAGGAGCAGCGCTGCCAGGACCAGGCAGAGGATGAAGAGGGGCATGTACAGAGGGGACTGTGCCCCTGCGTCCGGGGAGCCCTCCTCAGCTGACACAAAGAACAGACACAGCTTGTGACACCCGGGACATCCTCTCTCCAGGTAAGGGACACCATTTGGGTGCTCTCTGCAAGCCCTCCCAGACCAAGGTCACGGCAGGACACTCACCGCTCAGGAGTGTGACATTACTTGGTGTCACCATGGCCATCGGTGTTGGCATCTGCAAACCCTGGGAGCCTGGCAGGAAGGGGACAGGGATGGGGGGAGCAGAAGAAGCCGGCTTGCACCTCATCTGCAGAGGATCCCCACGGCCAAAAGCAGGTGGTCAGCCCCCCCCACACTTCAATGCAAGGCAGAGGGGGGCCCATACCATTGCAGACCACACCAGCTGCCCGGGACTGGTGACAGGGAGCCGATTTATTGTAGGTCCACTGGCAGTGGGCCAGCGATGGCTGCTGGCTGTCGCACTGGTACAGCATCCTGCCGGGCAGCGTGTGGTCGA